TCTAGTTTATGTATATTAAATTACTGTGTACACACACACACATCTGTGTGTACTAGCAAGAGATGTATACCGTCAGTGAGCAGAACAGCCCAGTTTTCTGCACACACACACAACGGGAAAAGCAAGTAATGAAATTATTAGAAAAAGAACACACACATAAAAGTGAAAAGAAAAGAAATTCGAATTAGAAGAGAATGCAGGTAAACAGATTATTATTTTATTCATCCATGGAGTGGATATACGCAATTATGATTATGTTAGTTTAACCATTATTATTATTATTTGTCCTCAAGTGAGTCTCACCGTTCAGTACAGGGTAGCGGAGAACAACACAACCACAATCAGCAGCGGTGCTGCAGTGCGCATCCACACAGGACTGACACTGCTGTCAACATTAGCCTTGTTATTCTGCATAGTGGATGCGATGTTGTTGATCTCTGCGTTGGGTGCAGGAGATGGAGTGGGGTTTGCTGCTTCAGTGACAGTGTTCGTGCTTGAAGAAGAAGACTGTTCCGTAGCATCACTGGGTTCACTTTCTCTCGTTTGACCATGAGACTCAGAGGAGACAGTATTAGTATTAGCAGACGGTGTGGTCACAGAGGGTTCACTCCCTTTTGCAGTAGATTCTTCTTCTGCTGCTCCTTCACCGGCATTCTGTGTGCTGGTAACTGTTGCTGTTGTTGTTACGCTGGGAGCAGGCACGTCTTGTGCGGGAGTAGTTATTTTGGTTGAAGAAGAAGAAGTTTCACGTTCGGAGTGAGAGAATGATGAATTATTTGCCGTACTTGGTATAGGCACAACATGTTTACCTTCTTTAAGAAGGTCATCTGAAGTTCGATCATCAGTTTGCCCTTTCGTCTTCAATTGAACACCATCTGTTGTATTTGAATGATTGACTTCGGCGTGTTCTTCTGCACCTTCGCCATCCCCAGGGCCTATAGACTCCGGACCAGGGCCTGCAGGTGCGCCTGGTCCTCCTTCCAGTTTTTGGTTTGTTACTTGCTTTCCCGGTCCTCCCTGTTGACCATTACCGTTTTCACTACCACCACTTGACTGACGTGAATCGGTACCACTTCCAGAAGGAAGGTCCCACAAATAATCACCCCAGGCGGTTTTACTATTAAAAAGAGCCATCACTGCCTTTGGCTGTCCATTAACAGTAGTAGCAATGATTGCAGTTCTCGTTGTTGTCGCTGCGTAATCATTTACCCTTGCGGTACGCTGGCGGCAGAGGTCTGCGTACTTCCCACATGCAGACACACGGCTGCCCGCACCGCATGTAAGCCACTCGCTCTCAGCAGCGGGGCGTACACGCAGCGCACCGCCGGCCCCGCACGACACCTCCACAG